AAGAATTTGCTAATAAATTTTTTTTTAAAATTAATTTTATATTATTAAAATATTGATATATATATTTTTTTTATTAAATAAATACCTTCTATACCTTGATTTATTATCATTATAGCTTGATTATTTTCACAGTTTGAAATTATTTTTGTGTTTTGAAACCCTAGAATACTTTTTTTTAGTTTTAATAAAACAGAACAATAGATTTTTTTTGAAGTGTAAATTACCGATTTCACCAAAAACAAATTCCCAACAAATTCCAAGAACGCGATTCCAGTATATTAAACTTTCAACGATTGGCACAAATTCTTCACAGTTGTTATTGCTTTACATATTGTCACACATTATCACATGTTTAGTATTTTTTGTATTACATATTACAATAAGAAATCATAATTATCACCAAAATTTAATTAGTGATTTGAGACAAATTGGCCTATATGAAAAAGAATTTTATTTGCGAAAAAATACTGAGGCAGGGTATATGAGAAATTTAACTGTCGCACAGTGTCTGTCATGTGACCTCTCACAAATGCGTGGTATGGTTTAGCCGATCACTACTCCGGACTGGGCTCATAGTGTTAGTTACATCAAGAAATATTATATACCGGTATCAATACTTTATTATTTATAAAAAACATTGCCGGAATCTGGCCTAGAATACATAAAATTGTGACCGCTACATGATGTGAATAAAAATATAACTAGTTTAAAATTCGTCCACTTTCTGATGATAACATGAATAGGACCTATTTCATCATATTGAGGATAAGGAGGTTTTTTTTTAAGTTCTTCTATATCTTCCACAGAAAAATAATAAGTAAGGCTCCATCAATTCCCCTTGTCTTTTTTCGGTAGTATTCACCAAAGCACGATTGATTTGTTTGAATTTTCTTACATATAGATCGAAGTTTTTTTGATTTAAGTCTCGCCGGACATTTCTGATTTCGACTCCCAGATTTTCAACGGTTGTATTATTATCAATCACTATAGGGAAAATATCTTCCTCAGCCTCGCCACGAACAAAGCAGATGAGACGAATATTACTAGTAGTGAAGACATCTTGTTTTTCTCATAGTGAGAAAAAACTCGCACCATACATACACAACTTCATAATAAATTTTTAAACACTGCTGTTGCTATCTAAACTGTTTTAAATGTAATGTATTAAATAATTTT